GTCTGCAGTAAAATGTACATGATACCTACATAACGAACGATCAATAAATTGCCACTTCAATGGTTCTAGACACAGCAAGACACACAGACAGTATTCTTCATAACAGCTGCCTTCTGCGTTTCAGACAAACTACGTTGGCCATGGCAACAAACTGGAGGCCAGTATTGCACTCTGAAGCAGCTGGTAGAGGCAGACTTGCTTGCGGTGGGGTACATGACTTATGCAGCAGCAACGACATCACCTAAATCATTATGAGAAGATAAGAACATTAGACATCATTAATTTGTGTACTCCGCCCTTGACCCAGATGCTTCAGATGACGGTGACGGCAATAACAAAAAATTCAAACAATTGTCCACAGAAACGCCAATGTAGCATGGCCGAAATATTAGCAGTTATAATAAAGACTATCATCTGTTTATTTCCTTCTAAACAGAGCTACTGAACTGGCAGTCTATTTAAGAAACAGACATTATTTTAATAAGCTTAGAGGTCACCTAAAGAACGAACCTCTCAACTGGATATACCTTTATCGTTCAGAATTCGAACCATGCATTTTGATTTATAAGAATAGAAAGTCATACGATCACAATTTAAAATGTGGCTATTAGTGATTTACGAAGTTATAAAGTAAATATAGTCAACACAAGTTTGCAGTCACCAAATTATGAACTTTATGTAGATAACGAACCTTCAGAAGCCTGTTTTCCGTCTCGACGAAAGTCCTCTCAAGTTTGCCTGAAATGAGGTTAATATCCTTCTGCAGAAGCTTGATGTCACCAATAATCTAAAAATAGAAAAATTACAAAGCTCAGAAAAGTAACGATAATCTTAGTACAAGCATCTTTAGCTTATTCTTAAACAACAACATCTAAATTGTCACGCGTTAAGTGCTAGCAAATTAATAGTCCAAAGCGAAAATGAAAGTTTCATACTTAAACAAGATCATCAAGTTTCTCAGCATAGATAAAAAAATACATATCTGTGTAAATTAAGTAAGAGACAAAACATAGTGAGAAGAAAAGCAAAAATGTGAAACTG